CTGAGAGAAAGTATCCTCTCTTTGACACATGATACGAGGATTATTTGAATTTTGAATTATTGGAGGGAAAGGCAGTTTCGCCAGCGTCTTAGAAGAAGCAACGTGGCTGAAAGCCATAGGTCGAGGGACATGTAGAAGACACCTGTATTCATCTTAGCGCAGAATGATCCCTCGACGGTTACTTATTTTTAGTATAAATTAAGAAACTTGTGTAGTTTTTAAGGGTGTTCAACCTATTGTACTAAGTCACTCAAACATTATCCAAGTAACTGTTGCGTGAGAAAGGATAAAATTGAGAAATGTACGTTGGAAACACCTCTTTTCATTAATGAAAGTCTTTTACATTACTTTATTATTATCTTGAAAAGTTATATTTTTTACTTCTTTTACTTGCATTTCTACATTTCTGTCTACTTTTCCAAAATCTCAAACATCTTTTCTATGGGTCGAACGTGCGTTCTTCCTGCTTATCCATCTTACATAAAAATTAGCATATGTTCTGGGATTAATCGGATTGATCCCGTAAGTAAACCAAAAAGAACTTTCCTTTTTGGAGATCAGCGGTTGTTTACCAAAAACAACGGTAAACAGCCGGTGATTGGGCCACGGGCAGGCCCAGTCCAGAACAGAATTCATTCTCTTATTTTTATGTGTTGTGTAGAAAATCTGAGTTGAGAGATATCCTATTTATACAAGCATTGGGCCACTTTGGATCTTAGAAACCTTATCATGTAACCAAATTACTTTTCGGATATGTATATCCGATTAAACCCCAACATTTTTTTACTAAAAGGGTGACTTCGGAGATGAATATCTGAAAATGTCACTAGATGTTTTTTTTTAAATACATGAGGTTTATTCGGATATGTATATCCGAAAACATACCTGAATCAGAAACAAACCATACAAGCACATACAATGTAAAACATAAGCAAACCAGAAACTTAATCAAGAATTACACCATCATTGTTGAGGTTATATATTACTTATGTATTAAATCGTATCAAGATTACATCGTTAGTGATAATACATTCAAAAAAAGTGTATCAATTACAATCTAAAATGCATAAAAAGATCCAATATTGCATAAATCTACAATTGGTTCCGCCTTCGACTTTTCCTGATTTAATTCTCTTCCAAACTCGCTCAATTTGGTGAACTCTTCCATCCTCTCTAGAAATTGATTTGGCTAAGTTTCTGCCTCTTTTGTTGAATGTGTCGTCCACTCCAACGATTTACCCGATATTGAACACCCTAGTTTCAAATAAACCTCAACAAAATGTAGCGATTTTGAAATCTAGCTTATGTACATGATGCGTCCGAAAGAGTCTTTAGATGGATCACTCTGAAGACATGTTCGAAACAATTTCCTTCTCTTCCGATTTAAGGTGAAATACAATGGGTTGACTGTCTATCTCTGTTTTCAAGTCATGATTATGTATTCCATAAATTACATTAGATTTCCACATTTCATCCACCTTACAGTATCTGCGCAATTTAAACGGACAACCATATTTTTTCGTTTCAGTGTCATCACGTTTTAACTTCCGAATTGGGGGAGGATACGTGCCACTTCTCTCGCATCTCATGGTTACAAATGGTAGTCTTCTATTTGAACCATTATCGGACCTTTCAATTACCATGGCAAACCCCGAATTCCTGGATACCATGCGGACTCATTGAAACATATGTTCACGAGCAGTAAACAGTTCTTCATTTATGAAACATTGACCAACATCTATCTCGACAAGAACCAACTTAACAGAATCATTCACTTCATCTGGTTTAACATCATGCTTTAATTTATCTAGTTTAACATCATCCTTCGCTACATCTAGTTTTACATCGTTAGTTAAATTGCAGCTTCTTTTGAGAAACATATCCGGGTGCACCATATGTAATAAGAACCAAAACAAAAAAATGCTTAAAAACCAGTAACATAAAATTTTGAATATACACATACGAAATTATGGTAGGTGAGTTCGAATATGTATACCGGACGAAGTATATATTTTTTTAGCTCAAAAGCAAGATTAATGTAAACAATGAGGGACGGAATGAGTGAACTTTACCTTAAGTTGCAACTTCTTTTTCTCCCTTTGATGTGATAAAATCCAAGAATGCTGGTTTGAAATTGAAAAGTTAGTTGAAAATAAATTTTCTTTTTTAAGGGTTTTTGGTTAAGGAAGAAGTTTGAAGTGTGAGAGAGATGATCATGCAAGATGGTCATATATTCAATTTTCTGCTGGAGATTTTGGGAGACACATCTTCGAAAATATCATTGAGTGGTTAAATAATAAATCATCTAAATAAAATAGTTGGAAAATTGCTTCAGGGGTATCTTCGGAGATGTATATATGAATTAACCTCAAAAAAATTCGCAGTTGCATCTCCGAACTAAATTTGGTTTAAAAAAATGGCATTTAGTGCATTTGGAGATGTATCTCTAAATAAACCCAATGGTATTTTTGGGTTTTCATAGGAGCATCCCGCTCCATAAGGGTGGGAAAAGAAATTCCCTTTTGTTTGGGGTTGCTCATTGTTCTCTTAATAATTCTCTTAAATCCGATAGAAACTCAAAAATACTTTTTCAATTATTTAAAGTTTTAAATCTGATCGCACCACAATATAACAGATTTCATTAGAGACACGCCCAATGTAAGCCAAAAAAACGTTCTAGTTATAAAATTTAGGTCCACCCTTTAAAACTCAAATAATCATGATTTCTGCATAACCCTTTGTTAAACTCTTACACTCATGATCATAACACTTTTTTTCTTAAACCCTCCCAAAAATATGTTGCATTCCTATTCAAGATTTTTGCTTGCAAACATGATTTTATCTTTTTCCGACATCAAAAGACACAAAATCATCTCAAATACAGGTAATGTTTTTATTGATGATCATTAAAACAATATGATTTTTTTCCATTATGAATACCGTCTGGAAATTGTAATCCAGACCCTTGAAAGGATTGGTTGAGAGATGAAACTCCAGATTATTTGAATGGTGACTGAAATTATCTTGTTTTTTTAATTGGTTGTAAGTATGGTGCACCCTGATGCTACTAATAAAGCTAATTCATCAACAGATGATGATTCAAAACATCTCCTACCAAGTTTTGTACGCGTTGATGTTGGAAAAGAATTTACTAATAAATAGGAGTCGTGAACATATGCTTCAATGTCTCTGTATGAAAGTTGGAAAATTAGGTTTTGTCATTGTTATTGGAAAAAACGAATTTTGATTATGATAGAAGATGTGCATTTGTCACGATGAGATGTGAAAGAAGTGGCCAATATAAGAAACTTATCCAAAAATTAAAATGTGATGACAAATATGGATGTCCTTTTAAGCTACACAAGTACCACCAATTGATTAATACATGGATATTTAGAATGATTCTTGATATACATAATTATGCATTGTGTCGGAAGTTAGTTTGTCATCTGATTGTCATTCATCTAAATTTTGAAAAGAAGAAACATGTTTCTAACGTGACATTGAACATGGTTAAGCCCAAAAGCATACTCTCAACTTTGTAAAGGAAATGAGACGAAGTGTCTCAAATATTAACCAAGTATACAATGTTTGTCACCGAAACTATTGGATGGACATCATTATGTATCTAGGTGCAAAGTGTGTGAGGATGGAAAAACTGTTCGAGATATATTTTGGACTTATCATGATTTCGTCATTTGTTTAACACATTTCCCACGGATAATTGATTCAATATATAAGACTAACAAATACATATCTCCTTTTTTGAAATTGTTGGTATTACTTCTACATAGATGATTTATTCAATTGACTTTACATTTTTTTTTTAATGTGAAAAAAAGGATAATGTTACATGACTTTTGAAAACGTATCAAAATATATTGAAAGACCTAGAAAACATGCTACAGGTGATTGTCATTAATCATGATATTGCATTGATGAATTCAACTGTAGAGATATTTTCTACATCATTTATTCATACTACTAAAAGTTGAAGTAGAAAATTATTTGTGCAATAGAAAATTATTTGTGCATGAATTGATTAGGTTAGACTCTTGAAAATACCAAAACTAATAAAGTTGAATTTGTTAATGTTACATTGAAAAATTGGTTGATAAATAGTAAGAGAATTTTTTAAGGATTGGGAATCAATCCACCAAATGATTCAAAATCAGTAAAACATGATACATACATTATTTGGTTGCATCATCACAATATTAAAACACAAATCCAAATATATATATATATATATATATATATATATATATATATATTCTGGCATTTCTCGAAATATATATATATATATATATATATATATATATATATATATATATATATATATTCTGGCATTTCTCGAAATATATTTTGCCAATAGAAAATCACTTGGTAGATCTAATAAACCATGAATAGTGCACGTTATAAGGGATGATAACAAGCATTGTGGAACAAATTCAGGTTCCACCGAATTTTCTTCGTCCTCCATTGATTCAAACTGTTACTAATAGCACACATGTAATGAAACTAAACATAAGGGCGTGTTAATCAAAAGATAAAAAGAATATGATTCTTAGACATAACAAACCATGTAAAGCTCAAGATTTTGAAGTTTAGGGCAGTGTTGGAGCACTTGTGCTGCCAAATTCAAACTATGGTGGAGCTCTAAGTATTGACAATGCAAAGAAAATACTTCGATGATTTATTCATTGGAAACTAGGCTTTTAAATAGCCTTTACAAAACAGAATTGCAACAGAATAATCCTAAATCTAAGGAAACAAATCAGCTAGCTAAAATTATGGAAACATAATGAACGTTACATTTGAGACCTACTCTACAGGCCTTTTATTGACTGACAGTAAAAATAAAACCCTTCAATCCCTCCTTTAAACTAAAATTCAGTAGCATTTAGTTTACTTCTGGTGCTTCAACCATTCCTAGCATGTCTCGAAGCTTTAAGAACTGCTCCATCTTTATTGGCTTTGTCATAAGATCTGCTATCTGCTCATGTGTACACCCATTTGACTCCGATTGGTTTGACACCTTTCGGCAAATTACATATAATCCATGTGTCATTCCTTTCTATGGAGTCCATTTCTTTCTCCATTGCATCTCTCCATTTCTTACTTTTTACAGCCTCATGGTAGGTCACTGGATCATCCTCTGACATCATCATCATTACAGCTTCTTCTTCTTCTTCAAAGAGCCCCTCCCCTGAAGCATATTCTGACATCCAAGCTGGTGTTTTATGTTGTCTTTTTGGCCTTTCAGTTTGAGAGTTTGGATTGATTTCATCACATGAGTTTAACTAATTATCCACTTCTTCCGGTTCAGCCCCGTCACTTTCTTCCTTTTTATCGTTGTCACCGTACTCCAAGACATCCAAGCTTTCTTCATCCTTGCTTCTTCCAGTCCCAACCTACATTTTCCTCAAATACGACATCACGACTTATGCAGATTTTCTTTGTGGTCGGATCAATGAGTCTATATGCTTTGGACTCTTTGCTTGCTCCAAGGAATACATGTGCTCTGCTTTTGTCCTCTAACTTGCTTCTTCTTTGATCTGGAATGTGTACATGTGCTAAGCAACCAAAAATTCGAACATCTATTTAGGATATGAATGCACCAGTTTGCTGCTTCTGCCCAATACTCTTTTGGCATATTCTTCTCAACCAGCATGGATCGAACCATGTTCATGATTGTTCGATTCTTGTGCTCAGTAACACCATTTTGCTGAGGCGTATATGCTGCTGTGAGTTGTCTGTTAATCCCATGCTCTTTGCAAAATTCTGTAAATTCGTTTGAAGTGAACTCACCACCCCTATCCGTTCTAAGGCATTGAATGCTTGCTCCAGCCTCCTTTTCCACACATGCTTTAAAACTTTTGAACATGACAAATGCTTCTGATTTCTGGTTTAGAAAGAATATCCATGTCTTTCGTGAGAAATCATCAATAAAACTCAATATGTACCTTTTGTTGCTGTTCGATGTCGGCGTAATCGGACCATATATATCTGAGTGAATCAGTTGCAGTTTATGTGCTGATTTCCATAAGCTCTTCTTTGGGATGTTCTCCCGGTGTTGTTTACCTACCAAACAATTTGAGCACAATTTCTGCGGAGCTGTAATGGTGGCCGGCAGCCCTTCCACCATTCCTTTGTGTGATAAGGCATGTAAACCTTTGTAGCTTAAATGCCCAAATCGACAGTGCCACAAGTGTGACTCATCCATGGACTGAATCTGCATACACCTTGGAGCTTTTGAAACCATACCAGCTAGAAAGTAGAACATCCTATTCCCACTCATGTCTGAGTGCATAATCACTCCCTTTCTTTCATAATACACCTTGCATGTGCCATTTTGGATTAGCACTGCTAACCCCTTTTCTTGTAGTTGACCTATACTAAGTAGGTTATTCTTTAATTCAGGAATGTAATACACATTTGATATTACCTGAACAATTCCATTGACTTGCATCCGCACACTTCCTTTTTCCATAATAGCAATACGACTGTCATTACCCAGCTTTACAGTTTGTTTGAAACTTTCATTCAATTCTGAAAACCATTCTCGATTACCACTCATATGGTTGCTACACCCTGAATCGAGAACCAAATTTCATCTCTAGTAGCTTTGCATTTTTCTACGTAAGCCATGAGTAGAGGCTCCTCATCATTATCAAACTCTACAAAGTTTGCTTTTCTATCCCACTCAGGACAGTCATACTGATAGTGTCCTATCATGTGACATCGATAGCATTCAATCAATGCTCTGTTGGTGGGTTGTCTCCCTCGACCTCTGCCTCGACCACTTCCAGCCATGCCTCGACCGCTTCTAGCCATGCCTCTGCCTCTGCCTCGAGTGTTTCTCTCTTCATATGTCACCTTTAATACTTGCTCTTCTTCTATTTCCTTCCTTCGAAACTTTTGTTCATGTACAACCAACGAGCTTTGTAGCTCATCAACAGTTAGGCAATCTATGTCATTTTCCTCTTCAATAGATACTACAATGTAATTGAATCTCTCGGTGAGAGTTCGCAGTATCTTTTCCACAATCTTGATGTCTTGCATGGCCTCTCCATTGTTACGCATGTTGTTTGCAACCAACATTACCCGTGCAAAGTATTCTGTGACCGTCTCATCTTCCTTCATCTCCAAGACCTCAAACTCCCTTCGAAGAGCTTGCAGTTGTGATTTCTGCACCCTTTACTTCCTTGATACTTCCTCTTCATTGAATCCCATAGTTGTTGAGCAGTCTCCTTCCGAAGGATTGTCTTCAAAATGCTCTTGTCGATGGCTGCGAATAAGTAATTTTTGACCTTCAAATCTTTTAGTTTTAGATCTGCTCTCACAGCTACTTGTGCTTCGGTTTGTTCTACCCCTGCCTCTGGTTCACTGTAACCTGGATCAATGAGATGCCACCACTCTTTTGATTGAAGTAGATTTTCCATCAGCATACTCCAGTGATCGTAATCACCGTCAAATTTTGGAATGCTCAGTAGGTTTTGCCCTTCCTTCGCCATCTCTCTTCACTCTTTTATGTGTTTTCGAAGTCAGACTCTTAACCTATGCTCTGATACCAATTATTGACAATGCAAAGGAAATACTTCGATGATTTATTCATTGGAAACTAGGCCTTTAAATAGCCTTTACAAAACAGAATTGCAACAGAATAATCCTAAATCTAAGGAAACAAATCAGCTAGCTAAAATTATGGAAACATAATGAAGTTACATTTGAGACCTATTCTACAGGCCTTTTATTGACTGACAGTAAAAATAAAACCCTTCACTAAGTGGGTCAAATTATAAAAGATAGTAACATCATCTTTCGAGCATTGTGACTGATTCACCTAAATTATGAAGAAAGATACCATCAAGTTGGGGGCAAATGAAACACATTTTCGCTTAGTTTTGTATTCCATTCCATGAAGGTTGAGACTTAGTAGGGTTTTGCATGTGAGAACAGTTAAAGGCAATTTGGGCATAAAATATTCATCATCATCATCCACATCATCCACATCTAGTTGAAGAATAAGATGTTTGAGTTTGCGTTGAACAACAAGGTTGACCCATTTGATGATATTCGGGAAACTAAGACGTGCGAGAGGACGGTTACTAAGAATTTTGAGACAGAAACGGCTGATTTGATGAGATCCACCGGCAGAAGCATCTCATTGAAAGTGTAATTAGAATCGGTGCTATGGATTTGGATGTCTGCGAAGTTGATAAATGTGTCCATCGCTCTGACAAAACGCTTGTCGCAACTACCTCTTTGGTGCACACAATAGCTTCTGGTAGACGGCTGATCTTGTCCATCGCCGGTAATGTTGTTGGAATTCTCCGGCGCCACATTTCTCCTTCTTCACAATTGGTCTGTACGCAGAATTTTATGAACCAATACCAAATTATTGGTTTTTTTGGACTATTGGCCTCACAAATATCAGTGAAAAGAAAGAGGTTCTTCTCTTCCGTTGGAGGGAGGGGGAGTTTGGCGTCGAGGACCAGGAGTGCTTCGCCATCCTGACTGCCTTCGTGGCCCGGATCCCTTAGGTCCAGCGAGTGGGTCAGGGAAGCAAGCTTGTAATCGTCAAGAACGGGGAAGTTATATACGAGCCACACCTTATAATCATCAAGGAGCTCCTCGAGAGCGAGGATCCCATTATTTATGTTTTGGATATTTATGTTTTGAATAATTGTATGCTGTCGTAGTTTTTTTTTTTTTTTTGTTAACAATGATGGTTGATTTAAGTATAATATTCATATAACATATCATAGTGGAATTTCAATGTCACGCACGCATGCGCCGACCATAGAAAAATAAAGTTCTACTATTTTACCAAAATGAATAAGTCAATTTGAATATGTAATATACATAACATAACCAAAACATTACAAAATAAGATAAGGGAAATAACCGAGGCACATGCTTGCACATTTGGATCAAATTTCATACGATGCGAAGAAATTAATACATGAAGTTATTATAAATATTTAAAACAAGAACACATAATGGTTATTGATCGAAATTTTTTGGAAATGAGCATTCATGGTTTTCATTATTTGTAAGTATATGAGACATTTTTGAGAGAATCCTAGAAGTGTGCATTAAGGTAACAATAGTGTTCAAGGAGAAGTTTAAACGATATTACCTCATTGTCGACGAAATGGAAGTTCTTAACATGATTAACCTACTAAAACACAAAGTTAGAGTGAGTATTGAATATTTAACGTTGAAGAGAGAACTAGGTAGCATTTGAGACATCAATGATCCTCAATTCTCCACGTATATTGATAAAAGATTATGTTGTGAATGGTTTAGTGAAAATAGCGGCAAGTTGATTTTTACTATCAACATGCTCAAACGCAATATCCCGTTTTTAAACATGATCGCGAAGAAAGTGGTGACATATCTCATTGTGTTTAGTTCTTAAATGTAGCACATGATTTTTGGTTAGGTTAATTGCACCAGTGTTGTCACATATAATAGGAATATGTGATAGCTTTATTTCAAAATCTAATAGTTGTTGTTTGAGCCACAAAAATTGAGCATAACAACTACCGACCGCCACGTATTCCGCTTCGGCGATCGACAAAGCAATGAAAACTTGCTTTTTGTTATGCCAAATTACCAAAGATTTTGAAAATAAGTGAAAATCACCACTAGTACTTTTCCTATCCAATTTGCAACAGGCAAAATCGGAATCGGAGTAACCAACCAAATTACAATCATTTCCCTTGGAATACCAAAGCCCTAATTTAGTTGTACCAACAAGATATCTCAAAATTCGTTTTACGACTTTCAAATGTGATTCCTTGGGAAACGCTTGATATTGAGCACACGTGCAAACACTAAACATAATATCGGGACGAGAAGAAGTAAGATAGAGTAGAGAACCAATTATACCTCTATATCTTTTTACCTCATTACCTTTATCATTCTTGTCTAGATTACCATTTGTTGCCATGGGAGTGTCAATCTCCTTGGCGGTGTCCATTCCAAACCTCTTAAGCAATTCGAGACAATATTTGGTTTGACAAACAAAGGTCCCTTCATCAAGTTTATTGATTTGAAGTCTGAGGAAATAGTTAAGCTCCCCCATTAGACTCCTCTCAAACTCTCCCTGCATAAGCTTAGAGAATTCCTTGACAAGATGCATATTAGTAGGTCCAAAAATGATATCATCTACATAAGTTTGAACTAATAAAATATGTTTTCCTTGACGTTTAATAAAGAGTGTAGTATCAACTTTCCCACGAGAGTATCCCTTTTCAAGTAAAAATTTACTAAGTCTATCATACCATGCCTTAGGGGCTTGTTTAAGACCGTATAATGCACGTTTAAGCTTAAACACATGATCAACAAACTCATCATTTTCAAAACCGGGAGGTTGAGAAACATACACTTCTTCACTTATATATCCGTTAAGGAATGCACTTTTTACGTCCATTTGAAATAATTTGAAATTTTTAGAACAAGCGTAAGCTAATAAAAGGCGAATAGCCTCAAGTTGGGCAACCTGAGCATAAGCCTCCTCATAGTCGATGCCCTCCTCTTGGTTATAACCTTGAGCCACAAAACGGGCCTTATTTCTTGTAATCACACTATGTTCATCAAGCTTATTTCTAAATACCCATCGAGTGCCAATAATTTGATGATTTGTGGGACGACGAACAACGTCCCAAACATCATTTCTTTCAAATTGGTTTAATTCTTCTTGCATGGAAATAATCCAATGCTCATCAACTAAGGCATCATTGGTGTTTTTAGGTTCCACTTATGAAACATAAGCATGATGACAACAAAGACTACTTTATTTTATAGCGAGTGGTTACTCCCTTTTTGATATCACCTATAATATTGTCGAGAGGATGATCTTTGGATGTTCTCCACTCCAAAGGAAGGCCATCATTTTCTTTATGACTTTCATCATCTTTCTTTTCGAGTGTGCTATCTCCATCCTCCTTAACTTCTACCGATTTAGGTTGATCAACTCCTTTGTCGGTATCTTTGAGTATGTCTTTTGTTGATGCACCTACACCATGAAAAGAAATACCTTTCCCAACACTATTTGGGGAAGTCTTATCAAAAGTAACATGTACAGACTCTTCAACAATAAGTAATCTTTTGTTATAAACTTTATACACTTTACTATGTTGAGACTATCTGAATATTCAAGGATATTTCATTCAAGTTAAGCATATAAATGTTATTAACCCTAAAGCCCTTAAACGTGCAGTCTAACTTTTCACTATGTTCAATTATACAACAACCTTTTTGAAATGATACTTTGTATCCATTGTCACATAATTGACTAATGCTAAGTAGATTATGTCTAAGACCTTCGACAAGCATCATATTAGAGATAGTTATGGTAGAGGGATTACCGATACTACCTTTTCCAAGTATGACACCTTTATTTTGATTACCGTAGGACACATATCCCTTCTTCTTCACCACAAAGTTAGAGAAAAGCGATATATCTCCCGTCATATATCTTGAGCATCCACTATCGAGAATCCACTTTCCCGTCATAGCATCAAGACATTCAACCTACAAGAATCAAGCAAAGGTGGTAAGTACCCAATTCTCATTGGGTCCTTGAGAGTGAGTTAAATAAATATTACATTTGAGCAACCATTGAAAATCATCCGTAGGATTTAAAGAATTTCTAAGTTTTCATTTTTCAACTTTGTGACGAACTTTGCAACAATAGTGACAAAATACTTTATTATGAGAATTCATAGTTCTATTTGATTCTTTCTTCTTTAAAGAGTAATTTCTATGAGGCTTTTCAACCTTAAAGAATCTAATATATGTTTTTTCAATAGGATGAAGTAGAATATCCAATTCGGTAGTAAGATTACTCACTTTTTGTTTCCAAATTTGACATGTCTCATAACCATACTTATAAGAAGACAAAAACTCTTTTTCATGATTTGAATTACTTACAATATATTCTTTCAATGTTTCTAAATGCTTTTGGGATTTCTCAACCTTAGCCTCTAAAATTGTAAAAGTTTTCTCTTGAGAGGCAAGTCTCTTGTTAGCACTTAAGAATTCTACTTGTAGTTTTTCAAACTCATTTTCTAGTTCATTATAAGACAAAGAGGCAATATTTGAGTATTTAAGACTCACATCCTTTTTCTTGCCTTGTCGGTGGTTGGACATGAAGCAATAATTTGCTTCTTCATCACTCTCACTTGAGCTATCATCACTTGAGGATTCACTTTCGCTTTCTCAAGCAACATAGGCTTTCTTTAACTTATTTCCTTGGCCTTTACCTTTCTTTTTGACAAGAGTTGGACAATCCGGTTTGTAGTGACCGGACATACCACATTCATAACAAATGACACTTCCTTTGTCCCTTTTATTTTCGTCTTCTTTGGTGGAGGAGGATTGTCTTCTAAACCTCATAATATTGTTGTCGAAATTCTTGACCCCATTCTTCCAAACATATCGGTTGTACTTCCTTATAAACAATCTCATTTCTTCATCATCTGAAGCCTCATCACTAGAGTCATTATTTTTGTTTTGCTCTTCTTTTGAGAATTTAGAGCTATAATCCTTGAGAGCTTTTGACTTCATAACTTCTTCCTTGTTGTTCTCCTTGTTCTTATTTTTCTTCTCAAGTTTCCTTTCATATCTTTCCAAGCAATTGAGTTCTTGCTCATGTTCTTTAAGCTTACCAAAAAATGCGGTAAGATCTAGGGCTTCAAGGTTGTTAGCTTCCTTGATCGCGGTGACCTTTGTTTGCCAACTCCTAGTAAGACATCTCAAAACTTTATTAGTAGAAATAGCATTAGATATAGGATTACCAAGCAAGTTCAAATGATTAATAAGATGAGAGGATCTCTTTTGTATTTCGGTAATGGTTTCACCATTCTTCATGCGAAAGAGTTCAAACTCTTGATTAAGTGTATTTATCCTAACTTGTTTGACCTCATTAATTCCCTCATTGGCAACTTGTAGAGTGTCCCACATAGCCTTAGCGGTTTCACAATGGGAAATACGATAAAACTCATCTACCTCAAGTGCGGATACAATGATGTTCTTAGCTTTCCAATCATAAGACCACTTCTTGTTATCATTTTCATCCCAAAGGTTTTCCAGCTTAGGCATAGTAATGCCATCAGCGTTATATGTCACTATGGTTGGACCATTTTGATGGCTTCCCAAACACCTTTGTCACATGACTTGATATGGATTTGCATACAAGTTTTCTAATAAGTGTGATTTTCCCCCGTGAAAATTGGAGCTCTCTTATAATCCCTCTTAGGTTCATAAGCCATTTTCTAAAGAGTGTTTCTTAAGCCGGAATGAACCAGGCCCTGACACCACTTGTTAGACGATGACGTGTATCTAGAAGGGGGGTGAATAGAGCACAAAAGAGTATTTGAAAAATATTTGAACGAAAAGGATTTTAAAATGTCGTCTTAAAAATCTTATTGGAGCTCGGATATGCAAATCAATAAAATTGATACAATGAGATGAAATGGATAATACAAGAAACAATAAACTCAAACAATCAATTTACTTATTAAGTGTTTGAACACATAAGTTTGTAGTGCTATATCTAATACTATTTAAGTAACCAAACTAGTTCAATCAATTTATCAAATACTTGACATGCAAGTGAATTTTCAGAAGTTCTCTTTGATTGATGTTAATATGTAAAACCACTTATAATCAAAATTGATTATAAGCTATATTTGCA